ATTCCTGCTACCTGTCTCCATTCTTAAATTAAGACTAATAGTCCAGTTTACCACCCATGAGTCTGAGGATTGAATAAAACAAAAGCAATGCTAAGGATGGCAGGGTCATGTGAGAATTGACAACCTTCAAGCTCCTTGTAAACCTAAGGGTTTATATGGACTGTATAAATGTAGGTTATTAGTGTTATCATTATGCATAGAGTGGGCACATAATCGATTTTGATGACACCACTGGAATAAAATTGCCAAGGCCTGAAAGGGAAAAGAGATAATCCTCCTGGGGTCTACTCACTGTTTTCAGTCGTACGAGGGAAGTGTGATAATGTGATAAAGCCAGCCCTGCCACTCACACACAAACATTCACGTGGTCCTTGAATCCTGCCGTGTTCAGAAAATACTGGGGAGGCAAAGGGAGAAAGGAGGAAGCCCAGTAGCTATTTCCGACTCTGCTTTCACATGTCTTCAGAGAATAAGAAGCAAGGACTGAGACTTTCTCACAGCCACCTTGAATAGAGGATGTGGGAAATTCAATATTGCTTTGTAAAGAGCCAAACCTCAGGGGAACCCACTGCCCAGTCATTAACAATGTAACATCTTTGCAAGAAGAGTGATGTCTGGTCACAGGATGCTGATTTGGTCTTAACAGGTCAGCTGTGGTGTGATGTGCATGTCATCCTAGGAAAGTAAAAGAACCCACAACCATGGGAACCACTTGGTGCCCAGCCTTCCCAGGCCAATTCTTTTTAATGAATCTTCCCAGCTCAATTAAACATACCTGGTATCTCAGTTTCAGCTGCTATGACAAAATACTGTAGATTGGGTGTGTTTTAAACAACAGAAATTTATTTCTCATAGTTCTGGATACTGGAAGTCCAAGATTAAGGTACCAGAATGGTCGTTTGGGTGAGGGCCCTCTTCCAGAGTACAGGGCGCCAACTTCTCACTGTATCCTTGCATTATGCAAAAGAAAGAGAGAGTTCTCTGAGGTCCTTTGGATGAGGACACTAAGCCCATTCATGAGGACTCTATTCTCATCACCTCCCGAAGACCTCGTCTAATGCCATCACCCTGAGGGTTGGGATACCAACATATAAATTTGGGGTAGATAAAAACATTCAGTCCATCATTACCCAGAAAATATGATGTGGGTCTTAAGAAATCAGATCATCTCTGGTATGATCATTTATTCCTTCATTCACTCATAATATCAAAGGGATTGTGGTTATGACTGTGGGCAGTGGATAAGATCACAGGCTCTGGAACCAAACCTACTGAGACAGAATTTCAGCTCTTCCACTCAGTAGCAGTATGACTTTGAGCAAGTCTGAGCCTGTTGCTTCTTCTAGAAGATAAAGATAGTAATATTAGTAGTAATAACAATACAACCCCTTGGGTAATGATGAGAGTTGAATTAATACAGGCTGACTATCTCTTATCCAAAATGCTTGGATTTTGTGTCTTCTCAGATTTTGAAATATTTGCATATAAATAATGAGAAAACATGGGAATGGGACCCAAGTCTAAACATAAAATTAATTTATATTTCATATACACCTTATACACATAGCGTGACAGTAGTGTTATATAACATTTTTGTTTTGAAGAGTTTTGACTGTGACCCATCACATGAGGTCAAGGGGTAAATTTTCCATTTGTGGTATTCTGTTGACTTCAAAATTTTTAGATTTTGGGACATTCTGAGTTTCAGATTTTCAGATTAAGGATGCTCAGCCTATATAAGAAAACTGTTGGGAACAGCAGTTAGCGTAATGGCCATGTCGCTGGACTCCCATGTAGACAACCGTGGTTCGTGTCCCAGAGCCGATGGCTTAAAACTCACACTGGGCGCATGTGCGTGCGTGCCCAAGATCCCGAGATGCCCCTGGAGAGTGATTTCTCACTTTCTCTCTCTGTCTCTCTCTGTCTGGTGAGCGCACACGTCCTATTGTATGCACACACTAATCCGTGAGAAAAAAAAAAAAAAAAAAAAAAAAAAAAAAAAAACAGAAAAGAAAAAAGAAAACTGCTTATAAACGTACAAATATATAAGGACTCAGTCGACTTTAATTATTATTATATGCCGGTTTCCATGACAGAAACTGAATGTGGAAAATGACCCTGTCCTTGTATATTTCACATTCCATAGAAAATGAGTGCTAACAACCAAGAAAATAAGTACTTACACCTGTCTAGCAGTGCCGCAAAGAAGATGAATGGGGAAATATGGCAGACCAGGGCTTGAAGGAGAGGGGCTTGTCTGAAGCAGATGGTTAAGGTCAGTCTTTAGGTGTGGCCTGGCATGAAGAATGAGGGTTTAAGACAGAAGGAGAACAAATGCAAATGCCCTGAATCAGGGGAGAGTTTGACATTAAAAAAAATAAAAAATAAAAAAAGAGCCCATAAAAGGGTGAGGGAAGGGTAGCATAGTAGGAGGTGAGTGCAGGACAGAGTCAGGGGACTGTTCATGTACACTATGGCATAAATATAAAATAAGTAAAATGGGAATTTTTTAACGACTAGCTTAAGCATTGTTTTCCTATTTCACATGTGCTTTATTTCACTTAAAATCACTGTACTGGGGCCAACAGGTGGCTTAGTGGTTAAGGGTGCTGGCTCTTACATGCCCGACTATGGTTCAAATCCCTGACCTGGCAGCTTGCTTTCTCACTTTCTCTCCCTCTCTCACTTTCTCTCACTCCATCCCTCTCTGGTCAAATTAAGATAAATAAAGTTAAATAAAATATTTTTTTAAAATTCCACTATGCTTAAAAAAGTTTTAGTAGGGGCCTACAGGTGGTGTAGTAGTTAAGACACTGGACTCTTGTGTGGCAAACTGTAGTTCGAGTGCTGAACCTGGTGGCTTGAAAATCACACTGTGCACATGTGTGAACATGCTCAAATTCCTAGGAGGTGAATGGAGGAGAAGGGATTGCTGCATGGCCATCCCCTCAGGGAGATGATTTCTCACTTTCCCTCTCACTGTCTCTCCTGCCAGCACACAGGCCCTATGGCAAAAACCTTAAAAAAAATAAAAAAGAGAGAGTGAGGTTAAATAACATTCACAAAGACATGCCATCCTAGACTCTTTGCCCTTAACTCTGAAGACTCTCTGGCCCTGTACCTCATCTCCCAATGATTCCATTAGGGCCGTTTAAATTTTATGGCACATTTTTGAGTCTGTGCTTTCCAGCCTTTCTATTAGTTTTTCTAGATGATTTCATATTTGAACACTAGAAACCACATACCAATATTAACTCTCCCCAGTTGGTTTCTAGCTGCCTTTATCTTCTGATGCTTTGGGAGTCAAAGAAAGATAGATTCTGCAGGCCAGTGAAAGCCTTCAGTGTTAGAAGTCTCTAACACATGTCAGTGAAAGCCTTCAGTGTTAGAAGTCTCTAATATTCAAAGTTATGTATAATAAGGATATAGGGACAATGATATTACTGTTGTTCAAGGAAAGAGTTAATGACCACCCATAACATACTAATGTCAATGTGTGTGTTAGTGTGTGCACACACATGCATAATGGCAGTAACAGGCTGTGGAGAAGGCTGGAATGAATACACTGTGTCAACTTTCTGAGTCTCTGAGTTATTCCTATGTGGAAAGTAATTAAAAGTTACTTTCTAGTATTATAGCAATGCTTTTACATGCTTAGTATGTACCGGAAGCTTTCCTATATATTTATGTGCCTTTTACATTTCTATATACATTTTTACCTATAGGTAAGCCCAGTGAGACAAGTACTGAAAAAGACAGTCAAGGTAACTTAGCTAAAGTCATATAGTTAGAATGTGACAAAACTAGAGTTCAAACCCAGGCCGTCCTGCTTCAGAGTCTCCATTTGCAATGTTTTATAAACATTATGTGCTCAATGTATTTTAGAATCTCTCTTTCCACTTCTAGTGTTTTGCTTTTGTTTTTGTTTAATTTGCCAGGGGGCCTGTGTGCTTACCAGAGAGAGAGGTAAAGCCTGAAGTCACACCCTCACTCATGAGAGTCACGCTACAGTTCCTTCTCCTTCCTTTTTTCCTCCTTGGGACATGCATGCACATGCACCCTGGCATGCTTTTAAAATCACAAAGTCTGGAACTACCATGTTGTAGTCAGCCATGTTGGACCCAGCTCTCATAATCGCCAGGCCACAGGCTGGCCCATGCCACTTCTTAGGAGAATTAGATCATGGAGCATGGCTTCTATAGACCAATTACAATGATTACAGCTTAATTTTGTTCCCCTATGCCCTCTACTATGATTCTCTCAACTGTCAGCCTTTAACATTGGGCACATAAAACATAAAAGAAATATTGCCAATGGCTTCATGGAGCTTGGTATATTTTTCTTCAAATGAATTTGGTTGAAAGCAGACAAGATTTGAGAGAGTCCTCTAGAACATGGCTAGATTGTGTCAGAAGATAAAAAAGAATATTGATGCATCTCAAGGTATCCTCACAGGCTGGACTAGAGCCAGTCACGGCATGCCCAGGTTCAGAAATGTGCTTACAACTTCCATACTGACCTTTCTACCACACCAGAATAAAACCACCTTTTTTCTGGCTCCCTGCAACTAAGACTGCTACCTAACATGTGGGGTTGCTCATCACCTTCTGAGACCAGAGGTGCAGCATCCTGGTTGTTTTGTTTCAGCCATTCTATCTTGCTTTGGAAACGGGTTTAATAATTTAGAATTCTATTTCCCGCTGCCTCAGGTTTTTGTTTTCTAAAACATTCTCAATATCTAAACCCTGCCTGTCAGCATAAGCACAGCTTCAGTCAATTCCAAAGGAAGACAAACATCTCCAGAGGAAAATTCCCAAGAACCCATTTTGTTTTTCTCCTTTCAAAGGTAGATAACACTGGTGCTGGACTGGTGGCACAATATCAAATGTGTTGCTCTGTGAAGATGATCCACACAGGAAAGTTCTGGGTATGTGTCCAGAGTTCTTCCTGAGTTACAGCAGACATGCACATATGGCCACCATCTGGGACTGGCTCACGTTGGGGGTGAATTGCAGTGCCAAGACCCTGCTTGAGGTACTGTCTCTCTTTCTCTCTCTCTCTGTCTTTCTCACTCATGAAATAAATAAATAAATAAATAAATAAAAACTGTAGATATCATCAACCTACTTACTCAGTCCAACAAAATGCTAAAAGTGGGACCAGCAGTTAGCGTAATGGCTACGTCGCTGGACTCCCATGTAGTCGACCGTGGTTCAAGTCCCAGACCTGGTGGCTTAAAACTCTCGCCGGGCGCATGTGCGTGTGTGCCCAAGATCCTGAGAGGAGAACGGAGGAGAAGGGATTGCACCGTGGCCATCCCCCCTAGTGGGTGATTTCTCGCTTTCTGTCTCTCTGTCTCTGTCTGTCTGGCAAGTGCACGCGCCCTATAGCAAAAACCTCTCAAAAAAGAAAAAATGCTAAAAGCGAGTTCAGAGTTCCAGTAAAGATAAAAATTGTTCTGATCAACGCCTTTTTATGGAAATTCTTTAAAAACCCAAAAAGAGATGTAATGTTTCAATGATACTAAAAACTAAGAGCGTTTTTTTATTTACTTATGCCTCATCTTTTCTCAAAATAATTTCAAATGACTTCCAATAGCACATGCAATACTACAGAGTAGTACACATTAGAGTGACAATTAATAGATAAATAAGACAGAGGGCATGCCCTAGCACTTAGTATAAGGATAAAGGGCAGTCCATCATGACCTGATTTCCACGAATAGGAGAGGCAAATATTTGACTTCAAGCTTCTTAGGAAAAAGTTCGACTATTTTTGCATTACTCACCATGCCCATGAAATAAAAACAAGCTGTTTTTCCAGAAGGAGTACAAATGTTCTTGGCACAAGGATCAGGCTGAATTTCTCTCTGAAATCCTTATGAAGAGGATGTTTTTGATCTCATGAACAATGTCCTTAATAACAATTTTTGTTTTTAATAATTATCTATTTTTAATAATTATAAAGTATGAAGTTATCCCACCAAAGCATAATTTTGCGAAAAGCAATTTTGCATGAATCTCTACATTATCTGGGTTATTAGCAATCTAGTGACTTGGCTTTGTTCAGGGATATATTTTGAAATTTCTAAAATCATAAATGGTATCTTTTAAGTTACCATCTCTATAGAGAATTTTTAAATTGGTGTTTAATACATATTGAGTTGAGTTCAAAAGTTTACTTCATGGCATTTTGAAAAATAAGTTTCTTTTGCTACTGGTCAAAATCACAGTTATGATTTGGCAGACTAAAGCCCTGGATAGGGGTGTAAGGCAGGTTAGCATCCTTGTGTAGATGCATAGATACAGAAAGACCTAACTAGGTATAAGAACATCTCACTTCTTTCTGTGGTAAATGAAAAGATAGACTAGGGAATGATGTAGGATCACATTTACTTCTGAGCTAAGAAATAAATGATCAAACCCCCAAGTCTGAATAGAGATAATAAAATAGTGATGACCTGATATCTGTCTAGATATCTAGACAATATCTACCTTAAGGTATCTACCAAACTCAAAGTAGAATTTAAAGTCTTTAAAAAATAAGTCCTCTCAAATGAGTTTTTAGTACAAGATTCATTGAAAGTAACAATCAAGTAACTAGTTTGTTGTATTATTGATAAGATTAAGAAAAGACACAGCTGGACACAAAAATAAATTGAAATCATAAAAATGTAGTTCAAAGATGGAGGTGTATGAACTCGACTGAAAGTTTTCTTTGAAGGGGCAAGTAAGGGTCTTCATTTAGGTGACTGCTAAAGAGAGAAGATAGTATTTAGTCTTGGGTGGTATGGAGACAACTTAAAGAACGAAAGATAGGACCACTCCATGGTGTGTGGTTAAGGTGGCTGGATTTTATATGGCTAAGTTGTTCAATATCTAAACTAGTGGCTTAAGAAATCCACTGGGAGCATGTGCATGTGTGGCCAAAATCCTGAAAGAATGAAGAAATGGAGAAGGGATTGTGGTGTGACTATTCCCCACAGAGGGTACTTTCTTACTTTTCTGCTCTCTCTCTCTCTCTCTGACAAGTTCATGTACCTTCTATCTGGCAATTTTTTTTTTTTAAGTGAAAGATATTTACTGAAGAAATATCTGGCAAATTATTTTTTAAGTGAAAGATATTTACTGAAGAAATGAAATAAATAAAGTGAAATTAGAGGGGTTACTCTCTGGAAGATCTTATCATATTCATAATCAGAAAAATTGAACAGTCAGAGTGACTCAAATTTAAGGACTGGTTAGAATGTAAGGAGATATCAAAAGCCTGATTAAACATACAGGGCTGTAAAGGA